CATTAGAGATATTTATGCACAACAGATGCACGCCTTCATTACCAGTCTATCTTCTGTGAGAATTGTGGTGAGCAATCCCAATTCTACATACACTTCAAGTACTGAAGCCAATGAGGATGTTTATAACATGGCATCCTTGGGGAATTACACTGCAAAATGAGCAGCATTTGTGCCCTTATCTTGTATTCTTTTCTGATGTTAGGTTAACACAGCTTTATAAACTTCAGTGGGTTCGTTAAAGTCATTAAATTCTCAGTGTGTACCTTTCAGCCGTAGTTGGATATTCTTCACTCCAAATTGATACAATCTTCTTTATTTTTCATCAGTAAAGTGAATTAAGTGGCTTGTTCTAAAATTTATTTTTTTTGTAATGTTTTATTTATTTCTAGGAGAGAGAGAGAGACAGCGTGAGCAGGGGAGGGTCAGAGAGAGAGGGAGTCAGAGACCGAAACAGGCTCCAGGCTCTGAGTTGGCAGTCAGCACAGAGCCTGATGCGGGGCTCGAACCCACGAACCGCGAGATCATGACCTAAGCGAAAGGCGGACGCTTAACCGACTAAGCCACCCAGGCGCCCCTAAAATTTATTTTTTACAAGAGAGAATTGTGATATGATTTTAGGGAATAAGGTGAATGGTATTGGGTGGAATTTATTGTTACAGCTTATGTATCATTCTGTGTTTGTCATTTACTCACATTCAGCTAACTGTAAATTACTGATAAGAAGAATCAAAGGTCCAGTGACTGAAGACTACATGCATTATGATCCACAAAAGGAGACAATGTAAGTAAATCCATGTTCATATTCTAAACATGGGAATTTGGAGCATGGTTGTCTAATTCAGTGTGGGAAAAAATTGGATTCTGCAATGAATGACATTAGTATAACTAATTATATATTTAGAGAAAATTAAGATACAAAGTATACCTCAAACCAAATGTACACAAAAAACGCACACATTACATATACATACTATTAGTAGGTTAAAAAAGAGGCTATCTCTAAAAAGAAAACTGTGTTTATATTAAAAGGAAATATAGGCAGATGACTGGGGGCTCAATCAGTTGAGCATCTGACTCTTAATTTCGGATTAGGACATGATCCCAGAGTCCTGGTATCAAGCCATGCATCAGGCTCCACGCTGAGCATGGAGGCCTACTTCAGATTCTCTCTTTCTCTCTCTCTCTCTCTCTCCCACTCTACTCCACTCATTTTCCCTCTCTAAAATAAAATAAAATTAAGAAAAGAAGAAGGAAATATAGGCAAATGTGTTCTAGTAAATGTGGGATGTGAAAACTCCTTAAAAAAATGAAAAATATCACACTTCAATAGAAAACAATGACAGGAACAGACTACTTAAAATTCCAGAATGATGAAATATAACACAATGAAAATAAAAAATCAATAAAAAAAAATGAACCATGAATTCAACATGTGACAATAGGCATACTTCAAGTGTGCTGAAAGACTACTATGTGCAAAGTGCAGCAATTCTAAACATAGAAAATGAACTTGTTTTTCTCACCCACAAATAAAGTAATTTTGGTGAGGGAAGAAACCAGTCCCCACTTTCCCATGTTGTTAAAGTAAGCCGGGGGAAGCGGTCCCTATGTTTCCTGTGAACCAGGATACGTCCTGAGAAGGAACCTGGGGCAGAGGCCTGTTCACAAGCACCAGTACACACCACGTTGCTAACACACACACCACCTGCCATAGGGCCCCCCAGTGAGCTGAGGGTCCCTGAGTCAGTTAGGAGTCCCTGGTAGAAAGGTGTGCCTCGGGAGACACTTCCCACTGGGAAGCCACAGAGGGGATGCTCGCTGGGTGCACAAAGATCCCAGATGTGCCACACTGCAGCACTGAGAATGGAGTGCTAAATGGTGCTGGGTTAATTTGCTATCCCTTTGGGGAAAGAAATCAAGTTGGATCACGCCTCCCACCTTGCACAAAGGTAACTTCCAAGTAGGTCTGTGAGACCCTTTAAGTGGAAAAGTATGAAGGAATTAGGAAGCCCTATAGGAGACTCTTTTTGTAATTGGGGTGTGAGGGAGGACATCCTAAGCCACACACAAAAACAAGAGGCAATGAGGGACAAGAAGCCTGCCTTCAGGGCCAACAGGAGGCCAAGAGCAAAAAGGAGGGAAGTGACAGGGTGTGAGGTGGTGCATGCAGCATGTGTAGCAGACAAGGGGATTGGCCAGTCCTCTGCAGGACTGTCCTCAACTGTGGTGTGGCACCCATCTGCATCTTAGACCAACCGGTGGCCCACCTCCAGAAGGGAGCCTGGAGCCAGCGCTGGCCACAGTTGTCAAACTCTAAGCTGAATGGTGCTGTGGCGGCTTAGAGATCGACTTGGTGAGGGCTGTGCCTATCTGTGGGTGGCACATCAAAGTGAGGGGATTATGGTTGAAACTGCTTTGAGAGTGGCACATAGGGCCCCAGGGAGGATGCAGAGTTTGAGACTGGTGGTATCCGCTGGGAAGCTGGACGTCTGCAATCTCACGAACCACTTAACGGGGGCAGGGAGAGGTCAAATCACAAACTCCCCAGGAGAGGTAGCAAGCTGGGGAGGGCACTGGGAGCTAGTGTGCAAGACAGTACCCACAGGCACCAAATGTAGATGTAATCATGAGTTGAATAAGAAGCAGAACCAGGGCTTTTTGGGAGCTGGAAGGCAGTCTGTGGGGGCGGCTCCAGATTTAGCCAAGAGGCAGGCGAGGCTGGGGCGGGCCCCATCAAGGCAGGGCCCTTCCCCACAGAGTGTGACAAGCTCAAGCTTTGATGACCTTGTCAAATATTTCCCATGGGGAAGCCCAGAAAGAATCTGTTAGTTGCAGCAGGCAGGGAGGCAAGTTTGGTGCCCGGTGGTCCCATGCTGTTTCATTCTGAATTAGGTATGAGAGGAGGCACCATGGTCTTTCTGGTGCTGAAAGCCTCTGAATGTCTTAATCAGGCCCTGAGTGGCAGGCATGCTCCTGAGTCCCCTCCACTGCCTCTAGGGCTCCTGCCCTGGCACAGCAACCAACCAAGGGATGAAGGGCAGACCAGAGGCCTGAGCTTCCAGACACAAGGAGTGTTTTCTGGAAGGCAGTGCTAGCAGATGCAGAGGAGGCTCTTGAGTTGGGCCAAGATCACACCCTTCGATGCCAACAGGCTTTCCAGGGACAGAAAGTTGCTCAGGAGATGGGCAGAAAGTCTCCAAGACCCTCCCTGAGTTAGAAGTCAGCTGTGGCCTAAAAGCGCCAAGTGCCTGCCTCGGAGATGGAGGACAAGTGCCTGTGGCAGCACTCGACTGGGGATTTGGTAGAGCGAAGAGGAGAAGGGACGCGCGTGTTAATTTGGGACCCCGAGCCAGGAGGAAGGAGAAAATCTTTTCTGCCTTTGTGCTGAGATGAAAGAGAATGAGCATGAGGGTGTCGCTGAAGACAGCATTGGCCAAGCAGGTTCCACTGGGACAAGTGGATGTGGGCCGTGTCTGCACGGCCATTCTACTTGGGAAATAGATTGCTCTGTCCACGTGAGGCTGGTTTGGGAGAAAGAGGTGGTCACATTAGTAACCCTTAAGCATTATGACAGGGCCCAGCAGCCAGCAGAGGAAGAGACAGAGCGCGGGGAGGGGGGCAGGGTTTCCCAGGGTGAGCCCTGCTGGGGTGTGGTGTCACAGCAACCACAAGTCACATGCTGGCCATCCAAGGCGCCAGTGCCTGGGAAGAGGCAGTGTCCCCATTGCAGGTTGGAAGATTTCCTGGCACCTGGCAGGTGCCCATACCTGCTAGTCAGCCCAAAGCATGGGGCGGGTGGGTACAAGTCTTAGAGCTGTAATCCACCTGCAACCCAAACTCCAGGAAGAGGGAGAAAAAGTAAAACTGTGCTCTGTGTGGAGGAGAGCAGTCTGAAGGCAGAGCACGCACAGAGTGCTGGTGCCCAGGGCACAATGGCTCAGAGCAGCATGCCAGGGAGACCAGGAAAGGGCACCAGGCACAGAAGCAGCTCTTCCCAAGGGAAGCTTCTTGTTGAGAGTGTTGGCCAGGGCTCTGAGGAAGAGGACGAGTGCTTGACACACCAACAGCCCTCAGGGAACCCGGCTTTGGTGATGCAGGGGCCAAGGTGCTGCTGAGAGGGGTCTGGCAGTGTTGACAGGGGTGGCAGCGTGACCTGCCCAGATCCACGGAGTGATTCAGTGCACAGGGCTGGGTTCCTCCTTTCCTCCAAGGGCTGCCAGGAGCTTGGATGGAGGCAACAGAGATGTCTCCCCTGGAGATGGACCTGCCATGCCTTGCCACCACCCTCAGCATCCTCCCTACCACCCTAATGGGGAGTTCATGGAGGGCTCTGCTGGCCCTTTCTTGGGTTTCACCCAAGGTACCAGGGAAAGGGCAGAAAGGAGGTTCACCCAGAGGAGGCAGGGGCCAACCCTTCTCGCTCTGCCAGGAATCTGGGCTTGGGGTCCCAAGGAAGGGAAGGGGCCTGGAGGTAAGTTTAACAGCCACTTTGCAGGAGAGGCAGAACTACACAAAGTGAGCACTCGGAGAGTAGCAACCATCACCGTTATACTAGTGCGTGGAGTGCACAGGGATGGGTTGTCCCGTGGTCCTCAAGGACGTGTACAAAAACCCCAAGGATACTGACCTTCCTATCTAGGCTGGCAGTCAAGGAAAGAGACCTTCACCAAGGGATTTCTCTGCTCCAGGTGCCAGGCACTGTGCCACCTGCTTCACAGGTGTTGTCTCGTTCAGTCCTCCCAACACTCCATCCTGATTCCACTAACCCCACCTCCACTCCCCCGCTTCCACTCGCAGCCCCCCAGGCCCTTCTTGAAGCTTATCCTGAGCGCTGCAGCCCACCTCTACCCTGCCTCCCGTGAGCACTGATTAGCATGTATTTGTCAGGGAGCAAACAAAGGCCCCAGTTAGTTAGCATGGGTTGGTGTCGGCCCGGTCGCATATTTTTGTCTTCCTCTTCATGTAGACTGTAAACTCAAGGACAAGTTCCATGTCTCACCTTTGCCAATCAAAGCACACAACTTTATTGGTGATACATACAAACGTAGGCTTGGGTGGATAAGGTTAAGTCAGTACAGCACATAGAAGGGGGGTGTACTTTTTTGATGAATAGGTTGACCATCCATCAGCTCGCACAGAAGAAGGAGTAAATGAGAAAGAATTCAACCTAAGCGGCAACAAATGCATTTTCAGCACAACCTCTGATATGTGTCTGGTCTCCATAAAATGGTCCCGCTTAGACAGGGAGACCACCACCGGCAAGGCATCCCTCATGATGCTATAATAAGATGTTCTGTATCCACAGCTGGCAGCTGAAATGATCCCTTTACCACAGGAAGAAGGCTGCAAGGGGGTGACTGACAATACACATTGCCTGCGGACTGCAAAACCAAGAAGTTACTGAAAGCCCCGTGGGAACTCCTGCCTGGCCAATAATTTTTTTTTAAATGTTTTATTTATTTTTGAGAGAGAGAGAGAGAGAGAGACAGTGTGAGCAGGGGAGGGTCAGTGAGAGAGGGAGTCACAGCATCTGAAATAGGATCCCCTGCCTGGCCAATAAGAGTGTGGTCCTCAATTTAGCAAGTGTAACTTTCACCCCATGATGTGGTGATGGGTTAAGGCTGGATCTTCAACAGCACCCACTGCAGGTTCTTTGAATGAAAACACAAGTGTGTGTTCATCAGAAGGGTCTTGGGCAGATTCAGTTCCATTCTGTTTGAGATAGCCATTTAAGAGGCCAGGGTGTCCAGGAGAACCTGTGTGTTTCCGTTCCTCATGAAGAGGGACATGAAGGAGAGCAGCATTTGGGCATCCAGCAATTCCCCTGCCAAGACTGGCTTTTCAGACAAACCCATCACCAGTTTCAAAACCTGAAGCTCAGCACATCCACTTCCCTCTGCTATCAAAGGAAACTTCAAGTCTGAAACGGACTTGGCAAGCATGTTATTAATAATGGTCATGCTTATTAACAAATTTAATCCGGCCTGCTGCAGAAATGACTTGCAGCAATGTGACACAGTTTCCCGACACACTTCATTGATGTACATCTTAATCTGGCCCTGATTTTCAATACTTGCATTCAAGTTATCCAGAGCACATAAAGCTTTCTCCTTAATAGCAGGGTCGGGAGTGGGGATCGTGTTTCCAACAATGCAGAGGCTGGCCAAATGACTATTGATATCTTGGCTAAATGAAAAACTGGCATCCTTGGGCTGAGCAAACCACATTTTCCCCTGAATGGAACGACACTTGGAGAGGTCACGAACACAACTGATATTTCTAAAGCTTTGGTTACTCCAAGCATTTTTATGTTCATAGGGGAATGGGCGCTGTTTTACTGGATGTGTTCGATTCACCTTGCCCCCACCTGAGAGCCTGTCCTCAGTGCCTCCAGGGGCCCCAGGTTCAGTCCAATCCCCATCCTCACTCCAGGGCCGAGCCATAGTTGTGAAATCAAACCAAATCTCAGGTTCCTCCTCATCCAGCTCTTGGTCATCGTCCCATTCCTCTTCCTCCTCCTCCAACTTGTCACTGTCATCTCTTCCTATTGTTAGTTTGTAAACACAGTAGCAGGCACCAGCCCCAATCATTAGTCCTGCTGCCATCCAACCCACTTCCCGAGCCCGGCCCATGCTCAAGTCTGTGCCAGCCTTTGGGTAGGATGGGTGAGGGCCTTGTTCCACCTAACTGAAGAGGATGCTTAGGGCCAGCGTGAGAAATGGTGGAGCGTAGTCCTCTTCTGCCTCTCTCAGGTTCCTGTAGCTCTCTTGTGATGAATCTATGGTTGAAAAATAGTATCAGGGTCTTGTGCTGTGTTTGAGATTATGCCTCACTACATAAACAGAGTAGAGTTTGAGTTCTGGTTGAGAGAGTTGTATTATTAGTAACCTATTCCTTAGTTCTTTATCATTCTCTATATACCCTCGGAACCCACCATTGCTCTTTCAGGCCCTATAGAAAAGGGCAGGAAATGGGGCTGTGCTATGATATCCAGGAGGGTGACATGGAGAGGCAAACCTTCAGGAAGTCTCCTCTGTCACAAACCCCAACCCACAAAGCTTCACTGGCAGTTTTCCCCACCAACCTCTACAAAAGTCATGTAAATTCCTTCTTCCCTTGTCTTCTGTTGTCAGTGCTCCTTCCACAGAGATTGATGGACAGTCTGACAGAAGGACGGATGGAAAGACAGACAGCCGGCTTTGGAGAACTGAAAAGTGTGGTTGGATGGATCAGCACTGAGAACACAGGTCCTAATACCCGCTTTTCTGAATTTTCAGCCTTTGACTTTAAAATATTTTTCACACCCTCCTGACTTTCCTAACGCAGATTTCCCCCCTCTCCCGATACCATCCGCCATTTCCCCAGCAAAGGCCGCCACACCCCTTTCCCTGCACTGAAATGGGAGGGGGTGTGGAGAAAGAAGGGGCCAGGAGAGGGCGACTCGGACCCGCCCGCGCAATTCCCAGCCCTTCCTCCTCCACTACCCCAATCGCCACCCCCTATCCAGGGTCCAGGGCTCATCCTGCCCTCACACCGACCTACAAGGTCCCAGGGCAGTTTGCTCCTTCCCTCAGGACGACTTTTGAGGCCGACAGACCTACAAACCTGCAAACAGACAGGGAACCGAGGGGACGAAGTGCTTGGTGGACGGAGCAGCACTCGGGACACGGGTGCCCTGGTTGTGGTACCTTTCTCTGGAGTCTCTGAAACCACCATTCACTCCTCTAGCCCCCGCCCAAAGTCCACCAGTTTTCTCTACTAAATGGGCACGAGGGAGGGGGGGACGCCGCTATTTAGAAAGTAGGAGAGAAGGGGACACAACCCGGATCAGCCAGAACCTGGATCCGTGGCACCCTTGGCCCTCTCCTATCCCCGCCCGCCTCTAAGCAGAGCCCAGGTTCCTACTGACCTCGTGGTCTGGGGCTAGTTTCCTTCTTCCTCCACACGCCTGCAGAGTAATAGGGGGCTGGTACCCAGACGGAGGCGACTAGCAGGACTTCTGCTCTAGGCAGCTCTTGGTCACGTGACGACAACGTCACGAGTGAGCTCTGGCCCCCAATTTCCACTCCCACAAGCAGTGCGGCAGGCGCCAGCCTGCCCCGTACCTCCCCCCTTCACATGGGGCCCTGTCGTTCTTTTCCTCTATAACAATACCATTAAGCCAAAAGTGGCCACGGCTCTCTGGCGTTTGAATTTGCCTTTCTTTAATTACAGAATGGGGCAGCATCTTTTCCTGGGTCTGCTGTTACTTATGCTTCTGGGGGGAAATTTCTTATCTTTTCCTTGGCTCTGAAACTCCTGCCCCCATCTCTTAATTTCTACTCCTTTGCACATCCGGTCTCTGCAGCAAAATTCCGGGCCGGTGGGGGGGAGGGAGGGAGAATTGCATGAAAGGAAGCTTAAGTAGTTGTGAGGTTTTTATTAACATTTTTGATACATTTATGTTCTATTTCTATTTCTATGTTCTATTTCTTCCTTTTTTATCGACTCAGGCTACACTATTTTGTAACTAGAAAATATAATAAATCTACTTCACTTGGAGGAAAAATAATTTATGTACATATGTAGATACATATATATGCAATAAACAAGGTTTCCCAGCTAATAGGGAGGCCTCGTTGATTTGGTTAAGTTAATTTATACCCTGTTGAAAATATTTTCTACTGAATGCACAGGAAATAGCAGGTTTCAAACAGCATATTAAAATTTAAAAACATATCCTTACAAACAAAACCAGTGTGCTTTCAATATGATTTATAAATTGATGGATAAAATAAATGTATAGTGAGGTGGTCAGTGTTTTAATCGTGGCCATTTTCAATAAGTGAATCACTTTCCCTTTCTCTGGCTGAACCCATAGTATTAAGGGTCAGATGCCTGAGAACTTCATAGAGGATTGCTGGATGGCTTTCATTCTGGCTTCAAAGGACAGACTATGCAAACCCTAAATTCAGATTAATCTTACTGTTCAGATGAATTTTAGAAATTAGTAACTTCACAGATTAGCCTGTTTTTCACTCAAAATTCTTTATTGAAAATCTATTCTCAAATTTCATGGTGTAACCCATAAATAATCCATAAATTAGAGAATTCCCTGTTATCCCACTGATAGAAATGAGGCTTAGCAGGTAGAATGTTCAGTAATCAGGACATTGGTGAGATATCTCCCGGATCTGTTGTTCATGTACTATATGTCGCCCTAACAGCTGCTCGTGTTCAGCACCTTCCAGTGGAGATAGTGGTGAGGGTCTGTAGATGACTATGAATCACTGCAACACCCCTGCTATCTTTGTCATTTTTCACCTCACAAAAAACACAGTTTACAGGATCCCAAGCAGTCACCAGGAGAAAAAGACCTTTTCACTTGCTGCCTTCTGTGACAATTTCACTGCACCATCCATACAAGCCCCTCAGAATAATCTCAGAACTCAGGGACAAAGTATGTAGAAACTAGTCTACAGACATTCAGCTGTTCCTGCCAGGGAGTCATACTCTAAATATAGACCCTTCAGGCAGCCTCTTTCTCAGAACATTGAAATAGGACACCCCAGCAGGAAGCTCCCCCTGTAAAGGGCCCCTGTGTGGGGGAGGCCCTTTCAGGAGCTGAGCCAGGGAGCTCAGAGTGCCTTGCTGGTGAATATTCAGAAGTCACACATCACAACTTTCTGGTCTTCCTCATAACTTTTGTAGTCCAAACTCCTTCACCAGTATCATGTTCTTTCTCTCTAAAACCATGACAGCATTTCTTTTGCATCAACTCCTTATACTGTTCTTTCTGTCTCCATTTATTTTCTTCTAGACAAGTGAATTCCATTTATGGAGCTTTATTAACAAATCTAACTGTACATCGTTCAATTTTTGGCTGCTAAGTCCTTATATAAGTGGCTTTTGTTTGTTCTGAACATACACATTAGAAAGAACTAAGGAGTATGTAAAGCTTAACAAAGCTTCAATGACAAAAGTACCACTCTTACCTCTCTTTACTACTATAAAATATCTCCCTCCCCTACTTTGGTATGTTTCCCATTATTCCAATGTATAACTCCTGGCCACCATTTTCCCAGTCTTTCAGACCTTTCCTGTTTGAATCCACTCCATCTCTAAAACTTCTTACACTACATGGGAATGATAATCCTTTCAATTATCTTACTCCTTTGTCATTTAGATCCACAATTCCTACCAAAGAACCTAGACACTAACATTTAAAATCTAATTTACTCTCCATTATACATGCATCATTAACTATTTAACACCAGATTGTTTGTCTGACATACCATTTCAAAAGCAAAAGAAGAAAACCCTTAAGTAATTCTTCAGACAAGCCTCTTAAAACGTTCTGAGCCTGCAGAAGACTATGTGAAGCCACTGCCAAAAGGAACATTTTGGCTCAACTTGGTATGTAGTCACATGTGACAGGTGGCTTAGAGAGTGCCCCCAAACACAAAAGGATCCCCAGATGGAAACACTAATGTAGAGATTGTAGAGACTGAGAAAAAAATTATAGAAGATTGTTATTTTAAAAAGCTGTATTACTTTATGTATTGTGTTATTTGTGTTTGTACTAAATAATTTGTGTTAGTTAACTTTGTTTGGTTGCAAGCAACAGAAACCAAAACTTGTTAATGGAAACAATGAGGGAATGTTGAAGACCAGGGTCAGCTCTCATGGGTATAGGTAGGAGGAATTCACAGATAGTTTCTTCAGGATGCTATAATTCTGTTGATTTTCAGTGTTTTCTTAAATCTGTATTCAAGATTTAAATTTTAGTAGGAGAGTATTGAGTGGATCTGTTTTGGGCGCAATGCTCACCCTTTGCTGGAGAAAATGAAAAGGTATGTAAAATGTAATATGCACTTTCTTTCTTTTCACAGAGAGAAATATAAATTGTTTCAGATATTGATTTGCAGGAGCCTTTTAACTACTTTGAACATTTAACCCATTGTCTATCTATGACTGAGATGCTGGGGGCCTATGTGCCACAAAATGTCTTAGTTGTAATTTTCACATTAACTAAACATTAGAGAGGTACGTTTTGGAAACAGTGATGCATAGGATTGTATTCTAAGCCAGAGTTACCTGTCTTTCCTGGCAGGATTCCACAAGGCTGTGGTTCAGTATAGTATAGTTCAGTATCTTGTCCTCACTGATGCATGATCAACCCCTGACTATCTGAAAGCAGAGGCCTCTATCAAGGAAAGACCCCCATCCATAGAGACTTATGTGTAAATCTAGATCTGGACAGCCAAATCCATGCATCTCTGCATACTCTCTCAGTAAGTGGGCCAAAAGGTAGCTAAGTCTCAACAGGAATGGCAACTGAATAATTTACCCTGAGGAATACAATTGTCAGAGGGTATTGCAGATTTCTGTCAGTTTTACCAGCCCATTCTCCCTGTAGGCAAGCTACTGCTTGGGAAGCCACAACCTCAGAAGGTTGCTTGGTGGGCCTGAAATCAGGGCAAGAGCATTGTTTCACCTTAAGAAGTGGCTTTCAGCTAAGGAAGTTTGAAGTACTCTTACACATTATGGGGATGACTCTGCCAAGGAAAGGTGAATGTTCCATTCATCTTAGCCAAGACTCCCTCTCCCCAGACGGTGCTTGGGTGGGAACTACCAACACTTTCCTCTGACTCTTCTTTTCATACATTCCTGTGCCTGAATAAGCCCCATGCTGCACGTGATCTTTCTCCAAATACAGAATCACATAGCTGATTTGGTTTGTTTGCTAAATTTCAGTCATATCCTAGTACTGCCTCCTGGAAGTTGCCCTGACATGAATTTCTGTGGAGTTTTGCCTATTCCCAAACTTTCCAGTCTCTTGATTTGTTCCCATATTATCTGTGGATTATAGAAGTTATACTCAGATAATAGCCTTATATCTGAACAATTAAGGAATATCCCATTGTAGATTCCATGTTCTAACATTATTTTATTACTTTTCCCAGTATAAAAAATTTGGATCATTGCTGATAGGTGAATCATGGAGTTAACCAAACCAGTCAGTGAAATCGTTTTACACTAATTGCTAGATGCCAAGTTCAGGCAATTTTGCCTTGGTCTCAGTGTTTCTCTAACACTTATTTTATTTAAAGGTGATACTTCCTATTTGTACCTAAGTATATTTGGTAATGTTCTTTTATGCTACTTACTTTGTCAGTGTGCATGCCTTTTTGTACAGATATCCACTACATAGCTGTGACTTCTACTAAACCTTTTCTGTGTTACTGGCTTCTGAGGGCTGCACACCTCTTCCTTGTTGACTGATGCAAGTGCAAGTCTGTAGCTTTCCTGTTTAGAGGACTGGACTCATCAGAAGATTTATGCAATTTCAGACATTCTAATAAGCTCATTTAGGGTTTGTGTTATGTGTTAGGCCTCAGAAGACATCACGATGATTTAGAGTGAGGTGTGTAACACTCCGCACGAGTGAGAAAATGTGGGGCTTTTGGAGGCCATCACCCAACATCACTCTCCAACTCCCATTCTTTTTTTTCCCCCTCAAATGAAAGTAGCTTTAGAGTAACTTTTTTTTTTTTTTTTTCCTCACAAAAGAATGCAGGCTGGGGGCGGGAGAGGCCAGGACAAAAAGAACAAAAATGTGTTAAGAAAGCAAAAAAAACACTCTCACTCCAAGTGTCCTTTTCTGATGGCTTTTTCGTTTGAGATCTGGGACTAGATTTCAGAGGAAATGGTAGACATTAATAGCTGAGAGGAGGGGAGGTTGAAGGAGAGATTGCTGTCCCAGGAGTTTAGGGAAGGAAGAGGCAATTTTTCAAAAAGTACAAGTGGCCTGTAGCCCCTGGGGAAGATGCTGTCCCTTTCTGGTAATCTGAGGAAGGCAAACACAACTACAGGGAGATGGGATTAGCAGAGAAGAAAGGGTAACAAGGCCTGGTATGGGGGAGGGAATAGAGGGGGGCGGGCCCTCTTCTGCCGCACTGCTGGTGGGAGGGGAAATTAGGGACCCGAGTTGGTGGATGACGTAGCTCTCACGTGACCAAGAGCTGACGTGTGCAGAAGTCCTTCTTGTTCTGGTCCTTGTTCCCGTCTGAGTACCAGCTCCCCATTGCCCTGAGGGCCAGCGGGCCTGCGGCAGGGGGAAGGAGGAGAAGGAAATTGTCCCGGATTCTTGCAGGTCAGTGCCTGGGAGATTCCATAAGGTGGGGGTGGCCGAGGGCGTAGGGCGGAGACCGTCGCGGGTCCTGAGACGCCTCCGTCGTCTCTTCCTCTCGCCACCGGCTTTCCAAGACATCTATCCCGCCTGCAGCCCATTTCGATGCTGCGAAATGGTGAGCAGAGGGCTGTTTGGGGAGGAGCCCAGATATCGGGAGTTGAGAATCTGCTGGGAGCCGAGGCCACAATCCGGAAAGGGAGCTGTGGCCTGGGTGTTGGCCCCCAGTCCTTCAGGACAGTGCCGGCGAAGAGGTTGGACATTTGGGGAGGGGGAAGGTGCAAAGTGATGTGCCAGCAGAACCCTGAGAGGGGTTCATAGGGGTGGGAAACCTTTGACAACCAGGCCTCGGAATTAGGAAAGAGTTTCATGTTCAGGGGACTGGTCGTCCACCAAGAGCTCTAGTAGGAGCCGTTTCCCGACTTTCTGACTGTGGCTGTGTCTTCCTGACCATGGCTCTGTGTCTAGGGGGGTCCAAGCCTCTCCTGGATTGTCAGTTTTTCCATAGGTTGCGGCACTACACCAGGAAAGAGAAGAAGAAGGAAATTAACCCCAATCAGTGAAGGTCGATTTGAGGGTAAGGCTATCTGGGGACCCTAAGAGGGGCGGTGGTGGGGTTAGGGAGAAGCTAGAGATGGCAATAATCTAGGTTAAGGCTGAGTGTGTTTCTTGCACCCTTGGGACTGTGGTGAAATGGCGTTCAGGGTGTGTGTGTGTGTGTGTGTGTGGCGCAGGGGTGGGGGTGGAGGAGAATGACAGAAGGGAAACCTATCAGGGAGTTTGTTCATAATCCTCTTCTCTCAACAGTACTTAGTCCCCATGTTTTCGATCTGTCATCCTGCAGGTCTGCTGTAGCAGGTGGCACCACTTGAAGCAAGGGAGGAAGTTTCCTCTGATCGGTAGAGGTCGGTGTAGGCGTGGGGGCTGACTAAAATGGGGGAGGGGCTGGAGATCAGTTGCAGTTGGACAAGCTCATTCAATTCTACTTAATTTTCTTAACATCCCTCCCATTTCAGGTTAGGGAAGGGGCAGGCTTGTGCATGTTTTGGATGGCATAGAGGTTTAAAAAATCTGACAACCTGGATGGTCAATCAGGAAACTACAAATGTGAACAGTCAACCCATCAAGTCCTCAGTTCTCACTGGTGTGGTATCTCTACAGATTGCAAGGGTTATTGGGCGTGGCACACCTCCAAGGGAGGGAAGAAGGGACAAACTGCCTGTCTGGAGGAGGTTAGTGCAACAGTGCCACTCCCTGGGGACACTCGAAGTTGGGGTGGCTGAGGCCTCAGCAAAGACTGTGGGCTTCATAGCCTTTATCTAGGCTTGGGAAGAGGGTGGGCTGGGGAGGAAAAAGGGAGGGTGAAATGAGGAGGGTACAGAGGGTTTGTTAACAATCTGCATTTCCTACCAACGACACATTTATTACACTCCTGACCGTCTGTGCAACTCCTGCATGGGGCAACACAAAAGAGAAACTCAAACCCTATTTCCTTCCTCCACCCCCAGGTCCATCTCCAGTATCAGCTATTGTGTCCTTGAAGTGGCTGAAGACATCACCTTCCACAGCCTTGCACCCAGGCCCATAGTGAATCCTCTCCCAGCCTGAGTGAATACTCTGTTCCTTGGTCCCTGCTATTGTCAGGGACGATTGCATGGGCTACGCCAGGAAAGTAGGCTGGGTGACTGCAGGACTGGTGATTGGGGCTGGAGCCTGCTATTGTATTTATAGACTGACCCGGGGAAGAAAACAGAACAAGGAGAAAATGGCTGAGAGTGGGTCTGGGGATGTGGATGATGTTGGGGACTGTCCTGGGGCCAGGTACAATGACTGGTCTGATGATGATGATGACAACAGTGAAAACAAGGGTATAGTGTGGTACCCACCTTGGGCCCGGATTGGGACTGAGGCTGGAACCAGAGCAAGGGCCAGAGCAAGGGCCAGAGCTACTCGGGCTCGTAGGGCTGTTCAGAAACGGGCTTCCCCCAATTCAGATGATACTATTTTGTCCCCTCAAGAGCTGCAGAAAGTTCTTTGCTTGGTTGAGATGTCTGAAAAGCCTTATATTCTTGAAGCAGCTTTAATTGCTCTAGGTAACAATGCTGCTTATGCATTTAACAGAGATATTATTCGTGATCTGGGTGGTCTCCCAATTGTTGCAAAAATCCTCAATACTCGAGATCCCATAGTTAAGGAAAAGGCTTTAATTGTCCTGAATAATTTGAGTGTGAATGCTGAAAATCAGCGCAGGCTTAAGATATACATGAATCAAGTGTGTGATGACACAATCACTTCTCGCTTGAACTCATCGGTGCAGCTGGCTGGACTAAGATTGCTCACAAATATGACTGTTACTAATGAGTATCAGCATATGCTTGCTAATTCCATTTCAGACTTTTTTCGTTTATTTTCAGCAGGAAATGAAGAAACCAAATTTCAGGTTTTGAAACTCCTTTTGAATTTGGCTGAAAATCCAGCCATGACTAGAGAACTGCTCAGGGCCCAAGTACCGTCTTCACTTGGTTCCCTCTTTAATAAGAAGGAGAACAAAGAGGTTATTCTTAAACTTCTGGTCATATTTGAGAACATAAATGACAATTTTAAATGGGAAGAAAATGAACCTGCTCAGAATCAATTCGGCGAAGGTTCACTTTTCTTTTTTTTAAAAGAATTTCAAGCGTGTGCTGATAAGATTCTGGGGATAGAAAGTCACCATGATTTTTTGGTGAAAGTAAAAGTTGGAAAATTCATGGCCAAACTGACTGAGCATATGTTCCCAAAGAGCCAAGAATAAATTTTGATTTGTATTTTTGAAGTAACACACATTGTAAACTATTCCACCTTGTTTATATGGTAAAGGAATCCTTTCAGCTGCCAATTTTGAGTGATGAATATCATTATATCGTCAATGCTGATGTTTATCTGAGTTGGTCTTCAGGTCTAAGCTGGATGAATGAATATCACTACCTGTTCTGAAAACATGTTTGTTGCTTTTTATTTCGCTGCCTAGATTGAAATATTATTACTATTTCTTTTGCATAAGTGACAGTGAACTAGTTGGTCATAAGTAAGCTCCCTGTCATTTGCATTAACTTTGTGTATCATCAATAAAGTTGTGTATTAATGCTGAACAAAACAAGAAGAAAGAAAGAAACCATCCTTGTACTTTGGTTTATAATCTAGTTGGAGAGATAAGAAATATACAAATAGATAATAATATCTGGACCATATACTAATTGTCAAATGTGCACTCTCAGAGCACTGAGGAAGCAAAGGTTTCTGTGGGATACAGTAGTCAGCTACAGATTCATGGAGCAAGCAGCTATTTAAAATGAGTCCTGACTGATGTAGGTAGTTAGGACATTCCAAGAGCTGGAGTGAGGGGCCATGAGGGTGAGAGAGACATGGAGGTAGGAACCCTTTTCCTATGGCAGTGAGGAGACTTGTCTACTTAGAGTGGGGAATGGCAGTAAATAAATTTGGAAAGCTGAGAGCATCCAGTTTGTGGAGAGCTGTTTGAATATTATCCCACCGAACACCAAGAACCATTAAATATTTTTGACTAGAAAGAATATTTTGGAATTCATATAGAGGTTCCTCTCTCACCAACTGCAGTGTCTGCGAGGGTGTGGATAAATGGATCCTATCAAACCCTCGTGTAGAACTGTTTACACTGAGTTTGCCCAAGATTTGTGGAGGGCCATTTGGTAATACATATAAGCCTTAAAGTTTGTAAACCTTTTGTCCTAAGGAAATAATTGAATAATTGGCTAAAGGCTATAGGTACAAGGCTATTCATCCCAGCACTGTCCAAAACAGTAACAATTGGGAACAACTAAGTGTCTAGCACACCAGAATAGTTAAATAACTTCAGGAAAGTTCACACAGTATACATGATAAATATTTTTATCCAAATCCATATTCACAGGAAAAGATTCATTCTGCATTGTTAAATGAGAAAGGTAGTTTAGATAGCAGTGTTCGTAGAATGATTCCTTTTCTTTTTTGAAGATAATAAAACATATTTTAAAGTAGACACTAGCAATTATGGAATTATAGACATCCAAACAGTAACTGGCTACATTTGAGTGGAAGGATAATGAGTGATCTTTTACCTTTTTTATTTTTTATTCATCTAGGTATTTTTATTTATATAAAATTAATATTTTTTGGAAATTTTTGAAAAAGAAAGTGTTGGGAATGAAGCAGCTGATTGGAACATGTACTGAATGTAAAAAGAACTTAGATTAAAAATGAGATGGGTGAAGTTTCCTCTCTGAAATGATAGATGAGTGATGAAGATGGGGCTTGTCATGAGGATTAAATTAAGTAATACATGCAAAATACTTCAAATGTTCTGGCACAGAGCAGTTAATTAAGAAAAATAAGCAGCTTTAATTTCCTAGAATGTAGGGTTGATAGTTTTTTTGGGTGGCCTTTGTTTTGCTTGGGGCGTTCTGCCATGTGTCAGTGTCATTTAATAAATAATAACAACAATAAAAGTTAGCGTTTATTAAGTGACTACTGTGTAGAGTTCTGTCATTCCTCCAAGACAACTGTTAAAATAATTTGTCAAAGAATAAGATTTTCTTATATCCAAGGGCTCAGTGTTTCCTCAGACATGATCTCACCAGCCTTCACAACATATTCCAAGTGAGATCAAGGAAGGGTAAAATCCTCAGTTCAGTTACTAACTGCTCTCATCCTCAGGCTTCCATATACTTATCTTAATGTCTATAGTAGACAAAAGTGTCAGGAACTGGTTGCCTTAAACTTGTTGCATATGGGGGCCCTATTGAATAAAGTAAAAGTGGAGACTCATTCGACACCAGTTTTAAGGGTGGGTAGGGAAACAGCAAGTAACATTTTTTCTTGCTGCATTGTTAGGGAGGAGAAAAAGATTTGGGAGGGGAAGGCGAATCCACTTAAATTGAGTTTGAAGAATCTATGTGACATCCAGATGGAGAGAGCCTATCGTCATTTGAATGTATTTAACTGGCACTCAGAGGAAAAATAAAGGCTTGGGAGCCACCAAAGGATGAATGCTAGTTGAGGACATGGGAGTGGATGTGATTTCCCAGAGATGAGGTGCAGCGTATAAGAGTGGAGGGGTGAAAAAAGAACTGTGGTGGCTGGGGAGAGAAGCACAGAATTGAGGCTTAGTGTGTAGCCTTTCAGACACTTTCACTACCCATATTTCTATATATTCTATACATAAAATTAGATGATACTGTAAATAAAATTTCAAAGTCTGATTTTAAATCATTCTAATTTTCTCCTAAAAAACAGATACTTAAGAAAACAGAGGCAATGAGAACACACTTGTTTTCTGACCCAGATGTGTAGTTTGAATATCCAAAAAAAAAATTCACATCAAGCCATGTTGAATTTGGGGTGCTGAGTGACTTTTATTACTTAACCTCATTTGAAATGTGGGTAAAAATGAGGTTAAGTAATAAAAAGCCACTATGTGGCAGGGGCACAGGCCTGACTAGCATCCATCTGCTCTGGCAGATTTCTTCTCCTTCCTTCCCATTATTTCCCCTCTCCCTTCCTCCTACTTCTATCTTTATTTCCTCCTTCTGGAATATCACTGGCTATATATATAGTCTCTTTGTGTTTCTGTGACCATCTAATTTTCAGGACACCAGGTCACGCAACAGTGGACATTTAATACAAAATAATAATTGTCATTGCTGTGGTAATGTGGCAACCTAGGGTGAGTGGATGCCAAAAATTTTCTGGAACTCTTGTTGAAGGAGAAGCTAGTCTTAGCGTGGCACAGCCCTATGTGTAGTGCATTACTTTTGCTGTCCCACACCTGGTATTATTTGGAACCCAATTGCCCGGACTTTGGGAAGTGCTGTGTGAGACAGATGTGTGACAGCCTGGTCCAGGCAGGCCACATAGCCAGCCAAGCCACATGTTGATGTCCCGATGCTTTCACATTGGAGGTTGCCACTCTCAATTATTTTGGGAAGGGTACAGCTCTAGCATTGAGGCCGTGATTGTGGCAGATCATGGGGGCAAGGAGAAGGCAGTGTTCTCTCTTTAGAGATGATGGCAGCTCCTGGGAAACTGAGGAAATTAGGAACTCGGAGAATATTTTGGTTTTGTTCTCATCTAATGATTTGAGTAATTTAAGTGGGTCTATCCTTGTCAAATATGTCCAAAGGTAATTTTATAAAAATGAAGTATAGTTCTCTTATAATTGTCACCCCAAGCATAATATTTCAGGGCTCAGAAAAGTGGTTTTCATTTTTTTAAATTCATATTTTACTTGTCTTGTCTCAGTAAACATCCCAAGTGCAGGTTTAACAAATTGATATGGTTCAGGCAAATTGTGTGTTTGCACTTCCGTTTGTTTAATTTCTCTGCTAAGTTCTCTTGAAAATGTTTTTTTTAAAGAATGATTATGACTATTTTCAATGTTATCTTTGTGCATTCATTTTACGTCACATCCCAAGCTAAATAGTTTTTTCTGTTTTCTCTGAATGGTGGCTCTTCTTTGCCTTTAAACTAGAACCGTCTTGTTGCCATCTTGGTGTGCAGCAAACTAGGATAATGGCCCCTGGTCTGCTCTGCCCTGAGTTGTTGTATTAACAGATATTTATTTCTCAAAATGATATACTTGCACATTTGACTCTGTGCATTGGGTTCCCCTCAGGTCTTGTGTTAAGGGTTTGGACAATTTTGTGTTTGGTAATAGACCGAGTGTAGGAAAAGGGAGGTGAGGGAGCAGGAGGCCTTATTACTTTATCCTTACAGGTTCATGCGCATATAATTCTGTCCACTAATGAGATTGGGCTTAGTGTAACTCTCTGGCCCTGTTGACCATTTATATTTTAAAAAGTGAAAGAGTAAGTGTAATAATACAAGATCTTTGTTTTGGCATAGAGCCCCCTATTTATTGAGCATTTCTTTGTTTCAAGTTTTTGTTTAATTCTAGTTAGTTAACATACAGTGTAGTAGTAGTTTCAGGAGTAGAATTTAGTGATTCATCACTTCCATATAACACCCAGTGCTCATCCCAACAAGTGCCCTGCTCAATACCCATCACCCATTTAGCCCATCCCCTGCCCACCTCCCCTCCATCAACCCTCAGTTTGTACTCTATAGTTAAGAGTCTTTTATAGTTTTCTCTCTCTTTTTCTTTTTTACCCTAGGTTCATCTGTTTTTTCTTAAATTCCACATATGAGTGAAATCATATAATATTTGTCTTTCTCTGATTGACTTATTTTGCTTAGCATAATATACTAACTCAATCCATGTCATTGCAAATGGCAAGATTTCATTCTTTTTGATGGCTGGGTAATATTCCATCACGCACACACACACACACACACACACTACATCTTCAGAGGAGATAACATATTATCAAGTGGGGTAGAATATCTTTTTGAAAATAAAAAAAGTGATAATTTATGTTACTGTAAGAAAAATAGTTACCAAATAGTCCAGATTCTTAGTGTTTGATGCTCAGAACATTCTCTCCCTAAAATCAGTCTTCATTAGAAACCAAATTATCATCGGATGATCATTTATTTACTGCTCAGGGAATCAGAACAAGCTGACTTAGCTAGATGTTGGTGCCATTAAAGCAGAAGAACCTGGTGCATCCACGTCTGCAGTGGGGATTGACTTATTGAAATAAAATACTTGTATTCAATAGTTAGAGCATATTTTTCCCTGGACATAAATCTAAATTTTGTCTGTTTGGGTACCCCTTTGATAGACTTTGATAGAGGCAGAGTATCATTGGGTGACAGTTTTATGACTATAAAAAATATTATGACTATAAAGATATATTATTAATTAGCTTTTATACAGAGTTTGAGAAACGTATACTTTTACAGCAGGAGGAAATTTGTGGTATTGGTGCAATGCATTGTTTCCTACATGTTGATTAGTGTCTCTCTTTTCTGGATTATTTTGTTTGATTAGTAATAATAATTTGTTATTAAATTTTTCTGAAACCCAAGCAAAATTAATTATCAGCTCTTTAATTATTTTTTCCCATTTCCATTTCAGTCTTCTGTTCACTGAAATATGATTTAACTACATTCATGCTAATATTTGTGGCTTTTGTTCAATAAGCTGTAGTGAAAATGCAGACATAATGAAATGGATTAATA